ACATGCTATACAAAATCTTCTTTGATTTTCCTCTGCTCTGCTAAGTGTCCCTCCTAGAAACCACCATAACATCCTTTATTTAACACCCATCATAGTACAGGGTTAAAATTACCTGTTTCTTGTCAGCTACCCATCCCCTTACCAGTAGGCCCATTGAGGGCAGTTACGGTCCTAGTTTACCATTATATCCAAGCACTTAGTACAGTGCCTGAACATAGGAGGCAGTGAAAAAATATTTTGTTAGATGAGTGAATGAACAAATGAATGAGTGAGTGAGTGAACAAATGAATGAATGAATGAATGAATCCTTTATATATCCTCCACCTGAATGCTTTTCCTTAGCACTGAGTTTTGGATTGTCTTCCTTTATTTTTTTAACTGCTTAGTGTATGTATGTTTTGTCTCATCAGTCGTAGACTTCTTGATGGGAGAAGTGGACTATATTTTATACTTCTTCATAGAGGGTTTGGTATAGGATAGGGCTCGATGAATACTTGTGGATTTGTGGGTCTCACCTGTAGTGTAAGAGGCATGAGTAAACTTTCATGGGAATTATTGCTCACATCATGAGAGATTGCCAGAGTGTTGTTTTATCTCACCTTCTGCATGATCTCAGTTGCCATTCATTGATTCAGAAACATTTGAGTTTATACTTGGTGCAGCATAATTTAATATATAATTATACTTTATCTATATTATTCACTATTTTTTCATACATGTTAATTTAGTCTACTCGGTTTTATTGTATTTTCCATGAGAGCAGGGTCACTTTTTGGTACTTGATTACCTCTGTGGCACTTAGCACATATATATACAACATGTGTTTGTTTAAAGAGTGGTTAATTGGATGGATATCATAAAATGGAGTGCCATTGATGTGTGGCCTTCAGTGTGATGCCTTATTAAAATAGTATTTAATCATATATGCTTTATGTTGAATTGTAATTCATATAGAAAGTTAACTTTATCAGTGCTCTCTCTTTTTTTGTATGTGAAGATTTATAATTGACTTTGGTAACTGAAATAGTCAAGCCACTCCCCAAAGAGAAAAATCTCAAGTGCCTATTGAATTAAAAAAAAAAAAAAAAAAAGAGCAAATATAATTCTTTGTTCTTTAAGAGCGTATGATCTGGGGCGCCTGGGTGGCTCAGTCAGTTAAGCTTCTGACTTCGGCTCAGGTCATGATCTCGTAGTTTGTGAGTTCGAGCCCTGCGTCGGGCTTTGTGCTGACAGCTCAGGGTCTGGAGCCCATTTCAGATTCTGTGTCTCCCCCTCCCTCTGCCCACCCCTGCTCACTCTCTGTCTCTCTTTCTCTCTCTCTCAAAAATAGATAAACATTAAAAAGAATTTGTTAAAAAGTATACAATCTATTTTGTTACTTTATGTAGCACTCATTAGTTTAAAGATTTCATACTAAAGAAAACTCCTATCTGTTATGTGTTCAAATCCCACAATTAGATAGTTAATTCTTTCTGAAATAATTGTAATGGATAAATAAACATGGAATTAAAGGATTGGTGCTGAATTTTTACCCCAGGCAGTAAGAAACAAAATATTTACATCATTATTTTAGGGCTTCTAAAATATGTGGTATTTGCATAATATTCGAATAACAATTCTTTTTCCTTTCCAGACAAGTGAAATCACTGACATTAAGGTAGGTCATTTCTAAATAACTAGAACTTTGGGAATTTTTCCACTTGACTAACTGTGAAGCGCCCTGTTTATCACACTTAGGGAAAGAAAGTTTAAACAAGGCCCTCACCCAGTGGTAGGGACCTGCCCTCAGTCATTAGCTGTCCCCTGCTCCAAGCTATGGCAGCTCCCCTTTCCCTCCATTGAGTATGTGAAGGAACTGCCCGCCTGGTTGGTAACTCTTCCTCGGGTCTCAGAGAGATGCTTTTAAAACTGTAACAGAGGGGCGCCTGGGTGGCGCAGTCGGTTAAGCGTCCGACTTCAGCCAGGTCACGATCTCGCGGTCCGGGAGCTCGAGCCCGGCGTCAGGCTCTGGGCTGATGGCTCGGAGCCTGGAGCCTGTTTCCGATTCTGTGTCTCCCTCTCTCTCTGCCCCTCCCCCGTTCATGCTCTGTCTCTCTCTGTCCCAAAAATAAATAAACGTTGAAAAAAAAAATTTAAAAAAAAAACTGTAACAGAAGTGGCTCTGAGAAAGACGTTCCCCTTGGATTTGTGCAAAAACAGTTAGAGAAAAGTATGAGGTGTTTACCTGTATTTCCCTGGGTAGCTAATGAGAAATCAAGTTTTTCATGATAGTTTTTTTTGTGATTCCATATTTACTTAGGCCCGTGAGCATATTTATTACATTTTCCTGCATCTAAGAAACGTGCCGTAAAATCAGATTTCATCAGAATTCAGAATTGGTGGTAATTTTTAAGACTCATTTGCTCATCTGCCCTTCACCATCCGTGAAGTTTGCCAAATAAAATAATAGCATAAAAAATTACTACCCTCACAACAATCTAAAACATCCATTTATGTATTAAAAATTAATATACTAACCATAAAACAAAAACATGGTTAAAGCCTGTCCTTCTGTAGAAGTACTTTGTTAGCCTATTATTGTTGAACATACGTGAATTTAAAAGAAAAAGTGTAACATAAAATACTGTTCTTCAGACACTGCAGTAATTTAACTGGCCTCATGCTGGCATGCCAGAGTAAGTAAGTACTAGGAAGTTTTGCCATTTCGAGAATGAAGCAATGGATTAATACTACAAAACCCTAAACTTTGAGGGAAGAAAATTTTAGCTAACAGGCCTATCAAATAACCCATCAGAAATACAGAGGTAGAATTTAATCAGTGCCTATTTTCACACGATAACCCATCTAGTGAAGGATATAGTCCTGACATTACTAGAAAAGCCTTTAAGAAAAACATGAAATGAGAGAGCCCAAAAATGTTGTCGTCAAGGAAAATGAAATATGCTTTGAAATATAAATTATGCAAATACATTACCTATGTAATTTTTTCAGGTCATGCTCACAACACTTATTTAATTATGGTGCATTTAGAAAATTATAGAGTCTTTTAAAAAATTATTACTATCATTCTTAATTACTTTAAACCAACATTGGGCCAAAAAGAATCACAGACGAAATCCAAATTTATAGAAAAGGCTTGAATAAAATTATAACCGAGCAGCAGACCATCAAGAATTACATATTTTGATGAATAGATTTTTTTAGAGTAAAATTTTCAACCCTTCATGAACTTTCTCTACCAGATCTGTTCATATGAATACTTATCTTAGGAAGGGCAAAATTTTATGAGATGGCTTCCTTTATATTTATTATAAATCTACTCTAATTTTAAAGATTTTTAACTTATTTATTTATTTATTTATTTATTTATTTATTTTTGAAGGAGAGAGAGAGACAGAGCATGAGCAGGGGAGGAACAGAGAGAGAGGGAGACACAGAATTCGAAGCAGGCTCTAGGCTCTAAGCTGTCAGCACAGAGCCCAATGCGGGGCTCAGACCCACAAAGTGTGAGATCATGACCTGAGCCAAAGTCAGACGTTTAACCGACCAAGCCACCCAGGCGCCCCAATCTACTCTAATTTTAGAATAAACAATCCTTTCTCTTGGAAAGCATGCTACAGATTACTCTTTTATCTGCACTGATGTATCTCAATGAGCAAACGTGAAGACCTACAAAAGGCAAGGGCCTAACAAGCAGAGACATACCTTTAATGATCCTTCTATTCCAAAGGGCACCTTGGTCAATAGCTGTATAAACACATAACCCTTTCTGTGTTGTTCTGGGGCAATTTGGCCTCCTGAAGAATTTTCATTCAAAAGTGGGACCTTTCTAACGATTCATGAACTTCTATAACACATTAGGCAGTAAACAGAAAATGTAGTAAGCAGGCTTGGCCTTTGAAAGCAAAAATTAAAACAAATAGGTAAACCTTTTTAATACTTAATTTGTACACATTTCTACACTTATCAATCCTGATACTAATATGATATATAATATTATGTGAATAATATAAGACATGCAGTTAGTAAAAATAAAAATAATGACTTTATGGGATGCCTAGGCCATGAAGTGGCCTACATGCCAAAACCTTACATTTAGAAACTTCAAAATAAAATTTCTAAGACATATTCATCTATAGTCTTATGGGCTTATAACCATAGAAATTTGGAGCTTCAAAGATGATACTTTATCCATGTCATACTTTTTGTGCTAAAATATTACCCTCTGACAACAAAAAACTCTTGTTGAATCAGCAACTACATGACCCACAGATACCTAAATCACAGGACTAGAAAGGACCATGTAGTCATTGAAAGCATTTTCATGAGTTTTTGTGTGAGACTATGTCCTGTTTTTTTAAACTCTGTGAGAAGAAAAGTGTAGACTCTCCATAAAATTTCTTACAGCATTTAATTCAAAACTCATCGGGAATCTTTGTTCTTGCTTTGTAAACCGCTCATTTTGTGATCTGAACATGTTTCATATCCCCTTCTGAGGACACATTAAGATTAGGTGGTGTAGGGGCGCCTGGGTGGCGCAGTCGGTTAGGCGTCCGACTTCAGCCAGGTCACGATCTCGCGGTCCGTGAGTTCGAGCCCCGCGTCAGGCTCTGGGCTGATGGCTCGGAGCCTGGAGCCTGTTTCCGATTCTGTGTCTCCCTCTCTCTGCCCCTCCCCCGTTCATGCTCTGTCTCTCTCTGTCCCAAAAATAAATAAATTAAAAAAAAAAAAATTCTTAAAAAAAAAAAAAAAAAAAAAAAAGATTAGGTGGTGCACACCAGATAGTAAAACTACATCATGAAGCCGCATTCCTGAAGACTAGTACTGCCACAATTTCAACTGTTAGATCTTTGCTCTCAAATGGTCCAGAATCAGACTCCAGTCTGTATGGATTTAGTAGATAATTGTTCATCACCCAACAGTGGGGAATCGATATGTGATTTTCTATAATGACATATATTATTGTAATCAGAGCAAAAAAATCTTCCAAAATTGAAATGTGTGTTAATTCTGGTTCTATTATTAATGCTGGAAGGCATACCCTCTAGACACGAAAACCCTTAAATCCAGCCAGTCTGTTCTAGAGAGAGAGAGAACGCTAGTGCAGAAGTGAACACGGACAGTGGCGGATGCATTGCTCTCGTTGTGAAGCGTTCGGTGGCAGCTGTCACTGAATGTCCATGTTGTGAGGAGGTGAGGGCAGGAGAGGGCTTCAGGAGGCACACAAAGGTAGAGCCATGTCCCTGGACTCAGATAAAAGGGGCTTACGACAGCCATGTCTAAGTGCACAGAAAATACGCATTCCCTTATAAGGAGCAGTTTTTTCAGTGATGGTTTTTTCATTCTCTAGAGTTTGGACTTCACTAACAGGGAACATTCGAGGCATACGTCTATTAACAAACTGGAACACGAGAATGAAAGGCTCCGAAATGATCTTGCAAAACTTCGCTCCAATGGCAAATCAGCATGGGCCAATCAAAATACCTATGAAGAAATGGGACGGTACACCTATCAAAACCAAATGAAAATGGAAAAAAATGAAGATAGGTATGTTAGCTCCATTGTATAAGGACACAACTGTATAAACATTTAATAGAAACATTTATTTTTAAACAACTCAACGGAGAACTTTTATATACTTTCTCTTCAATTGTTAGCATTTTATTCTGTGGTGATAATACAGTAGTATAGATATATTGTTTTATATTAAATTCTGTGCTGTCAATAGCTTTCAAAATACAACAGTGAAATGGTAGCGTTACAGTGAATTCTACTTACTTCAAACCCTTCTTAGAAGCCGATGTGGCACGCAAAGTATACAAAGAAGTAATCTTATTTTTTTATGTCATAAGAATAGAAAAGCTAGATTTTAATATGTTACGTATATTGTTCAAACAGAATAGAAAATAGGTCACTTCTGACTTTCAAAATATACGCTTTATATTGACAACTCCAGCAGTAGCGACAAACTGTTGGTCCCTTCGTAGGAAAGGAATTGGAGGGTGGGTAAGAGGTTTTCTCTGAGCGAAGAGAAGCATGTGGAAAATTAGTATCTGCTATCCACAGGATCCCCTTTTAAAGTGCCTTAGTTCAAAATTTAAGTACATACGTCAACCATAAAATTAGACTAATTTATTCCACTTTAATGAATACTTACAGAATCAAAACTGTCCTTGGCGGCTTTCCACTGTTTTTCCAAACCTGGGAAATTCTCAGCAAAATAAACAAGTTTCTTTTCTCCAGGATATCTTAGAGTCATTACCATGCTCTTGTGCATTGTGAGTTTCAGGAAGGGGTGTGGCATGCAACATTCCCCGAACTTCTTTAACATCAGATTTGTTAACATTTCATGGTGCCAAGAAACGGTGAATTGATAGGACCTAACTTCGATCCAACTTTTGCTCAAAAACTCATCACACTTAGCATGAAAACCTTACCTACTGTTTGCATATAACATAATATTTACAGCCTTGGGAAACGTACTTAAACTTTGTAAGCCTCAATTTCCCATCTGACAAATACAGATAATAAGTATAAGGGGTTTTTGTGTGTGTGAGAATTATAGAAGAAAATACAGTTCCATATAAAACATATATTTCCATAAATTTTAGCCATTATTGATATTATTATTACTAATAAAATTGTTAGCATTTATAACAATATGAATACTTCAGCAACAACTCACAGTGCCAAAAAGTAGCTTTGGGTGGCCAAACAAATGGCTGAATCTGACATTCCCTCAGCCACAGTCCTGTGAGAAGGGGCGATGCCCGCCTATCTTTGTAACTAAGCACGCCCCATCTAAAGGTGGATAAATCCATAAATCCATGGGACATAGCAAAAAATATGTCTGTCAACATTCTTGTAGACGTAGTGCAGCTCTCCTACTTGCATCCCCTCAACGCTGCACGTATTACAGGCTGTATCCTAATCCGATGCAAGAAATAGCAACCATGCAAAAGCGCTCGATTAATAACCTTTTTTCAAGACGTTCAGGAAGGAAATGAGGGCAGACTGGCTGCTACCCTAGAAACTAAGCACTGGGGGTGGGTTGCTGGCAGGGGGCGGCGGGGGGAGGGGATGCAGGGAGGTGGGGGAGAGGCAGGGGGCAGGTGGTGCCGTCTGGGTGCAGGTGGCAGAGTACAAACAGGGTGTGGGGGCGGACGTAACCGTCCGCTGAGGCCTAGCCACGGGCCGGTTCTGTGGTGCCCGTGCCAGGGTGTTCCGGCCTCTGTAACTGAAAACCTGTCTCCAGAAGAGGTCTCATCTTGATTGTGGTATAGAAATATTTTTTCTGATGTAGAACATACCCTTTTCAAGATGCTTCCCTACTCCACAGATTCATGTCTCCGTGGGTCAAATCACGACCCCACGCATTCGGTTCTTTTATTGTAAGAGAAAAGCAGGCCCCTAAAGCTGTTAGGGCCTTCCTGTGCACGTTAGTACTGGTCTGTATCGAGCACCCATTAGGCGCAGAGCATTGTTTCCTATTCTTGCTTGTTGGGAACAACTTTGAAAGCCTTGGATGAAGGTACCAGGTGCCGTCATTTAGAAGACAGTTATTCCGCCTTTTATTATTTTTAAAAAGTAATTTTATTGTTTGGGTTGCCCCCTTTTTTCTTTGCTGGGCAGTACAGAATGTGTTAAAAGTGCCTAACAAAAACAAGACAGTAGGGGACGCAGAAAGCAACGCAAGAGGTAAAATGCTCAGCGGGAGATGATCTTAATAAGCAGTCAGGACTACTCTTCCTGCCGCAGAGCCTCGTGTCCTGCCAGCCTCCTCTGTTGAGAGTTTCATTAAATTTGTTTTAATGCCTTGCCTGATTTCAGTGTTCTCCAGTGACCTGATTTTTAAGAGAAACAGCATTTCAAATGTCCTGAATAAATTATTATCATGTAGAACCCAGTATGGGGAAAGCGTTGTTGAGTTGCAAGGACCCTGAACCCAGCAGTAGAGAGCTGTAAAATACATGTCTATTAATTTTAGCAAGTGAAAATGAAATGTTCCTTCTTTCCCTCACAGCACAGCTCAGTGAAGCCTACATATATTTGTTAGGCATAAACATCATCGGAAAATACTGAGTCATATTTACATAGTACTGGCTAATGTCACAAGGTCTTATCAAACTATTTTAGAAAGGAAAAAGCTTTTAGGCAAACGTATATGAAGATGATGTTCCACAAAATGTTTAAGCCAAACTTTTAGGCACTTCCTCCTTTTAGCTGAGGAAGATTTGCATAATACATCTTTAATCTTTTGTCCTCTTGGAAGTAACCCAATTTTTGTTGTTGTTTTTCATTCCTATTAGAAGTAATAGGAAGTTCTTCATGCTCATCCACTTGAAAATGTGAAGCATTTTGGGATATTCTAACAGATTTGCTTTCCGATAAGAAAGTTATTCAGCACTTAAAGAAATTATGAATAAGATGCAATTTAATTTGGTGAGGATGTATTGAATTTTTAACATTTTTTTTAAAAATTTATTTATTTGGGGGCACCTGAGTGGCTCAGTCGGTTGAGTGTCTGACTTCGGCTCAGGTCATGATCTCACAGTTCGTGGGTTCGAGCCCCGCAGCGGGCTCTGTGCTGACAGCCTGGAGACTGGAGCCTCCTTTGGACTCTGCGTCTCCCTCTCTCTCTGCCCCTCCCCTGCTCATGCTCTGTCTCTCTCTGTCTCAAAAATAAATAAACATTAAAAAATTTTTATTTATTTTGAGAGAGAGCACTCGAGCAGGGGAGGGGCAGAGAGAGAGGGAAACAGAGAATCCCAAGCAGGTTCCGCTGACACAGGCTTGATCTCACAAACTGAGCGACCATGACCTGAGCCGAAATCAAGAGCCGGATGCTTAGCCAACTGAGCCACCCAGGTGCCCCTCTACTGAATATTTTAAAAGTTTTTAAAAGTCAGAGTTTTGAAGTTTAAGGATGAAAGCTAATTTGAAATAGTGGTACCCAGAGCAATTAATATGTGACTAATTTTAATGACAACTCAATTTTGTAATAAATGGAGTTTCTTCTCTATATATGATACATACTTAAAGGTTACATCATGTACAGGAAAGAGTTTAGTAATCCTCACATTAATCACTAAAATTGCTTCCAATGTGGTTCATAAATAAAAAGTTTCTAATACTAAGAAAATCACAAAGTCAGTAGCTTTGTCATAACCACTCTCACAGGATCCCTTGTCAAAGAATGAACAGTCATCTAGAAGCAAAAAAGCAAGTTGAGAAAATTTACTGCCAAGGTGTTACTCAAGAAGAAACAAAACATAGCAGGCTGAGCAGTTGTGGGCCGGGAAATAATGAGTTGTTCAAAGAACTGGGAGCATCATGTGGAGCGTTAGAAGGTGAGGCTGAGGGGCGCCTGGGTGACGCAGTCGGTTAAGCGTCCGACTTCAGCCAGGTCACGATGTCGCGGTCCGTGAGTTCGAGCCCCGCATCGGGCTCTGGGCTGATGGCTCAGAGCCTGGAGCCTGTTTCCGATTCTGTGTCTCCCTCTCTCTCTGCCCCTCCCCCGTTCATGCTCTGTCTCTTTAAGTTCTGTTAACTTTTCCAGATTAGTTGGCATCTTACTGTAAAGAAGAGTTTCTTGGGGCGCCTGGGTGGCGCAGTCGGTTAAGCGTCCGACTTCAGCCAGGTCACGATCTCGCGGTCCGTGAGTTTGAGCCCCGCGTCAGGCTCTGGGCTGATGGCTCAGAGCCTGGAGCCTGTTTCCGATTCTGTGTCTCCCTCTCTCTCTGCCCCTTGCCCGTTCATGCTGTCTCTCTCTGTCCCAAAAATAAACGTTGAAAAAAAAAAAAAATTAAAAAAAAAAAAAAAAAAAAAAAAAGAAGGTGAGGCTGAAGCAGGCAAATTAGCGGTTTGTGAAGGGATCCTATTCCATGCTGAGGACGTTATCCCATAGCCCGGGGAAAATTAACTGAAGGCCAGGAAGGGATGGACAGTTAGACACGTCTGGAAATTGCAGACAGTGGACCCAGGTCTCAAGTGGGCAGAGTTCTGTTCCCAACAACTGAGGACTGCTTTCCTGGAAGAACTAGGGCCTGTGGAAAAGCTGACTGGGCAGACCAACTCGTGAGAGGCTACTAAAAGCCGTCCGAAATAATTCTGAGGAGCTTTTAAAATGCTATACTGAGCACTTCTTGCAAGGTGGTTTAAGAAGTATTTGAATCGCTGCATTCTAGAAGAAGAACTTTTCAGCTATAAAGACGATTTAAAGCAAAAGTACTTTACTCCCTCATGTAGTCTTTCCTTTCAATCTCTGCATTTTATTGATCGTACAATAAAAGAATGTTCATATGTAAGTTTTAGCAATTAACACTATAAAACGGTATCAATACGTCCAAAGCCAAGTGGATAATTGAGAGAATTCTTTAGATAATTTGGGACAAATAACACTTTCCCTGAAATCTTTGTATAATTGAGATTACAACGAGATACATCTTTCTTGAGTCACTTCTATAATTATCTTATTTTGTCCCACTGTGCTTTAAAGTATAGATGGGAGCCTCCCTCAAATTAAAAGGTTCAGCTGAAGATTCTATGCAGATGTACTATGCAATTGTTATAATTCTATCTGAATTGCGGATGTTTCATCTTAACGTGCACATCATAAACCATGTTATTTCAGTTTAATTTGCTGTTCTGTTTCCATGGTAATTATGGTTTGGGAGAATGGATTTTAAAAAAGATATATTTCAAGATAAGTAAAAACGGAAAGCACGTTGTGTTTGTTTTTTATGTCCTAATTTACAGATGTCTCACTTAACTTTTATTGCTATTTGTATGCATCGCTTTGAAATGTTTACATAATAAGAAACCAGTCTGTGGAGACAGATAGTCTTTGGATAGGAACAGAGAACAATGATGTAAATTTGTTTGAACCGTGCAAAATTCAAATGTGAAGGCTTTGAAAATGGTAAATCATTACCTATGGAGAATTTGAATAATCAGTAAAAATGAATAAATAAGTTTAAGGTGAAGGGATTCTGATGTTTTCATGGGCTTTGATGATTTTGATTAAATTTCAACCCGAATCTCATGAATTAATGTGCAGAAAGATATTTATTCAGTTCTGAACAGCTCGTACCACAGGATCTTTTTATGTAAAATTTTAAGGCAAGTTCGTTTGGTTTTTTGTTTTATTATTCATTTGTTTAGTCAGCATACAAAAATTTTAAACCTCACTGGTCTTTTATTCAGTTTCATCTTCTACTTTATATGTTAGCACAAACCACCGATTCTGTACTGTACCTTCCACCCAAACTGTGGAGTGCAAGTCTCCTAACAACTCATTTTTTATCATTGAAAAAACTAAAGTCACAGAAAGATCTAGTTACCTGCGTAAGGTCAAGGTCATACAACTAAGTGTGGAAGAGCTAAGGAGAAGATATTAATTGAAAGTACGTTACAAATTATTAAGCCCTATAGGAATTAGAATTATTGTACAAGGACTTATTCTGGCATGAAACAAACAAAACAAAACAAAACAAAAGAAGTATAATTCTCTTAAGAAAGCCAGCAAGGTTGGGGCGCCTGGGTGGCGCAGTCGGTTAAGCGTCCGACTTCAGCCAGGTCACGATCTCACGGTCCGTGAGTTCGAGCCCCGCGTCAGGCTCTGGGCTGATGGCTCAGAGCCCTGGAGCCTGTTTCGGATTCTGTGTCTCCCTCTCTCTCTGCCCCTCCCCCGTTCATGCTCTGTCTCTCTCTGTCCCAAAAATAAATAAAAACGTTGAAAAAAAAAATTAAAAAAAAAAAAAAAAGCCAGCAAGGTTAAGTGAACTACAGAATACAAAAAGAGGATTATTTAGACTTCTCGAGGGCAGCATTGTTAGCTGTGCTGAGATTTTTCTGAAACGGGTATCATGGTTTTTAATTAAATGGCAAAGAGATTTGAAAGTAACACAGAAAAGGATGCAACAGAGGCAATAAGGATAGAATACTTTTAACAACTACAAAGTTTTCTGTCCATTATCAACCATTAGAAATGACTTACCAGGAAAATTATTTTCAAAGAGACCCTGAGATAAGCCCAAACATTTTGTGCTGCTCTCCCCTCTGTGAGACATCAGAGAAATGTAAGTGCTTAGCTACATGAACCAGCAGTATCCTTGGTGGTGGTGATGACGACCATCCTCCTCTTTTAGACTTAGCCAAGACCGGGAGCCCAACAGAAGTGTGACACCTCCTCTGCCGCCTTTGCCATTTCAAACCAGAGAAATGACAAGTCCCCTGGTTAGCGATGACGAAGTGTTCCCACTGGTGAGTTGCTGGTTGTGGTT